TATATGGTGTTTCATGACCTGGATCAGCATCGACCGGACGACGTGTTCCGTCACCTCGCGCTTCTTTATTACATTGAAGCACAATGGTACAAGACGGATGATCTGAACGAGCTCATTAGCAGTGGAGCTGTGACCGCGGAGACATCCGCAGAAGTGGCTTCCTTCCTTGACGATCCTGTTAAGGTCTTCAAGGACGTGCTACGCCAAAAGAACTTGTTGACGGAGAGGGTGGCCCGCGAGTTGGAGACTGCCACAGAGTTCTGGGGACTGGAGCGATCGCTGTGCACGGCACTGGCCGAAGGCAAGGCAGTTCGTTTGGAGGACGTGCTGAGAGCTGTTCACATCAAATCCTTTGACTACCGCGTGATGTTTCTGCTGTTCTATGGCCTTCGCGGTGCACCGGTCAACGATCTGCACATGGAATTCATTTCTACACTGGAAATCATCGGGGAAATGTGCGATGATCTTAGGGACTACGAAACTGATGTACGGAGGAACACGTTCAATGTGTTCCGAGCCTTTGTGAACATCTACGGCCCTAGTCAGGCACCAACTGAGATGGCCAACTTCCTGGATGAGATTGAGAGGAGATATGAGTCACTCCTTTCCCAGTTGGAACCTGAGTTGGCAGAGCACTTTGCCAGGTTAAACAAGTACAGTACAGCGTCCCGGGGCACTGACAACCCCTTGGTCAAATGGAATATCCCTCCTGTCATAGCAGATGAGGCAGCATATCGTGCTAGCATGTCTGCTAACGTGAATCATAAAATGAAGGAGGAGAAGGACAGGGTCAACCTGGTATACATATGAGCAAGAGCAGTGATGCGGAATGTCCACACAATCCGGGGACGTGAGTTGGACAAGCGATCCAGACACGTCTGCAACTGGGGAGGCTGCCGCTAGCTGGGGCTTCGCTTATCACCAACCTAACGGTGGCCGCCGGCTATCAAACCTACATAGTCGGGAGGCATCGCTATATACATTTGGAGATGGACTCGAGTCACTGGAGTGTGGCAAGTTGTGCCGTACAACATTATCGCATAGGCCGAAAAGCCAAGCCAAAGCGGGATTGTGAAGTGATAGAATGACAAAATTGTGTGTGTGTGTGTGTGTGTGTGTGTGTGTGTGTGTGTGTGTGTGTGTGTG